CGGGCCCCAGGGGTGCGGCCCCGCGAGAAAGGAATTGGTTGGGCGAGGCAGCGCGGCGTCCTGTCCCGTCCGAGGACAGTGGAGATCCCGTGGGCTGCTGTCACAGAGTACCCTCGTGCTGCTAGCTTCCCAGCGTGTATGAGTCAGTTTCGATGGGCTTGATTATGAGGATTAATACGGCTTGCGTGGAGGTAGTTAATGGACTTTGTCCTGTGTTCAAGCCTTGTTTCTCTTCCTTGATTTCTTCTTCGCTTAAGAAACAACAGAAATGACTAACCGAGAAGAAGCTGAGATACAAATTTCAGAACTAGATTTGCTCTCTAGCATGTTTCCTTACGAGGAAGAGTTCGTCGTGACTGACCAGCTGGCTGTAGCGGAACTAAAGCACTATGTTGAGAACGAGTCTGCAGAGATGCCGTCTTCAAAAGTTCAGTTTATACTGAATGTAAAGCCAGAGGTCCCTAATGCCTCTATGGTATCGTAAACACCTTTTTTTTTTTTTTTTTAAATGTTTGTTATATTTTTCTTTTGTGGGATTTTAGGACTTGAACTGAATATTTGCTCATTTGTTTTTAGGTGGAATTCTCTATGGCCTGTGCCTTACCATTTAAATATCCAGCTGTTCTACCAGAAGTTACTGTGAGGTATGACATTGAAAGTACAGCTAATAAAAACATTTAGAAGCTATGGTGTGCTACATAAATACATTTATATTAGGAAAAAGCAATCCTTTCTTGATAGTTTACTATCAAATTAACCCAGACAGACAACAGTGTTGAAAAAAACCAAATCTCCAGGATTTTTCAGGTGTCCTCAGCAAGAGAGAAAAATGGGAAAAGCGTGGAGGAGTGCCATCTTCTGTACAGAGGGGTTACATACAGATACTGTTCATAGATGTGATGCTCAAGAGACACTGTTGTCCATTTTGATGACACACTAAAGGAGTGAAAAGTTAGTCAATGGTCAGCTTCTTCCTTTGTTAAAATGCTGTTACTCCCAGGCTTCTGCTGTTTTCTGTTGGAGCATTTCTGTTTAAAGAAGGAGCCTTGCATATTACAGGAAATTAGTTCAGCCACCATACTTACTTTTCAAATACCTTTTTCTTGATTTAGATTCACAGATTGGTAGTACAGTGTGTGAACTCAAGAGTTAGCACACCAATTGAGTACTAATTAAGACCTTTTCGTAGCTAATGTGACTTAAATATCAATAGCAAGTGCATGCCACCTAAATACGGCCTGATTTTTTGGCACCTTGAAGTAACTGTTTCAAAAACATGCTAAACTGTAAGCAGGTTACAAGTTCATTTTTCTTTTTCTTTAGGTCATCGTTATTAAGCCGCTCTCAGCAAATTCACTTGAACTCTGATCTAAAAACATACTTGATGCAAAACTGCAGTGGGGAGCCCTGCATGTTGAGTGCGAGGGAATGGGTTAAAGACCACGCAGCTGCTTACATTGACAAAGAGCTTTCATCTTCCTCAGTGACACCTTCAAATGCCATGCAGTCAGAAGATGTCACGTTCACGCGATTGTGGATCTATAGCCATCACATTTACAACAAGCAAAAAAGAAAGAATATTATTGACTGGGCTAAGGAACTCTCTCTGTCAGGGTTTTGCATGCCAGGGAAACCGGGTGTTGTCTGTGTAGAAGGTCTACAGAGTAGTTGTGAAGAGTTCTGGTCAAGGTTAGTTTTTCTTTGTACTTAAATGCCATTAGTAGTTAGAATATTACATGTTTCATGTTGTATGTGTGACCGGAAGGCGGGAAATCCAATCACCTTCCAGCCTATAAAAGTCTGCAAGGTGATTGTGTTTATCATAATATGTTTACAACTCTGAATATCCACTGTGCTGTTGGTTACAGCAATCAAAGCTACAAGTATGGCACGGTGCAGATTTATTTATGTTTTGCCTTCCTCTGTAATTCGGTTGTATAGCGATGGAGTGTGGTACCCCAGTTGTGTGAGATTTGTATGCTGTGATATGGCTTTATTCTGCTCCCATCGTTTATATTTCTGGGTGATGCAGACTAAACGAACATTGCCGTTTGATGAGGACAGCTAAGAGGGTATGAGAATACGAGGATTCTTAGCACAGGCAAGGCAGAGGTGAGCACTGAAATTGAAACCGCATCTGCATCAATGATTTCATGAGGAGTAACATTAAGGTTTTTGAATCCTGGGGAGACACAAAGAAACAAACTCCTGCTTGTGGGAGTGTTTATGTGTGAGCAGTGTTTCTATGACCAGCTAGGGAAGAGTTATCTCTGTCAACATCTATGTGCAAATGGAATTTGTTGACTTCTGTGATAATAGCTATTTCGTATTATTTTCTTAAACAGTATTTTATGAATTCTTATTTCTCCAATTGCTTTCAGAGTAAGAAGATTAACATGGAAAAGAATTCTCATTCGGCACAGAGAAGATGTTTCCGTGGAAGGTGGAGGACATGCTGAGATACAGAAACAAAGAAAGTTCTCCACTTTGGAAGAAAAATGTTTTGATGCACATGGTGCCAGAGGGAATCATATGGATTTGGGGCAGCTGTATCGGTTTTTAGAAGAAAAAGGATGTGCTGACATTTTTCAAATGTACTTTGGGGTTGAAGGGCATTGAAGGGGTTGGAGATCACCGCGGGTCCGAGTGGTGATCTTTGTAAGTTGATCTTCATGACGGATTCCTTAGCTGTTTTGCAATGGTTGATCAGAGAGGGAACTGATAATCTGTGCTTTTTGTGATGAATCCAGTTTTCAGTGAAAACAAATATCCAGCGAAATCCTGAATAATGAAAATGACTAAATTAGACTTTCTGGTTTTAAGGGCGTTCAGGGTACCTACCTAACTGCAATGAAAGAATACACGTTTGGTAACTCATCGGGCAGTTACCAAAACTGTAGATCAATGAACAGAGGGCATTGTGGTGAATGAATACATGAGCAAGAAGAGATGACGACCAAGTGTGGGTCTCTCAGCAGAGATGTGACGCTGACGTTGCTCGTTAGCGTTTACATGCACTACGTGAAGAGTTTTCTGTAACAATCTTTCCTTCCGCTCTCTACCTGGAAATTTCATAACCCATGAGACTAATGTTTTATTTAAAAAAAAAACCAAAAAAAAGGCGCAGTTTCCCAGCAGGCGCCTTCAGGCGGGCGGGACGAGCGAGGGCGCCCGCTCCGCGGCGTAAGGATTGCCGCCCTGGGCTGAGGTGGGCGCCGTGCGCCCGGCCCCGCCCCCCGGAAGCGCCACGCTCCGC